GTATAGTGATCACTGGTGTGGTTATACTGTGCCCCACTCGTGAACACTGGGTTTGGTCTTACTGTGTATAGTGAACACTGGTTGATCTTACTGTGTATAGTGAACACTGGTTGGTCTTACTGTGTATAGTGAACACTGATCTTACTGCGTATAGTGAACACTGATCTTACTGTGTATAGTGAACACTGATCTTACTGTGTATAGTGAACACTGATCTTACTGTGTATAGTGAACACTGATCTTACTGTGTATAGTGAAACACTGTCTTACTGTGTATTGTCGATCAATGATCTTTACTGTGTATAGTGAACACTGATCTTACTGTGTATAGTGAACACTGATCTTACTGTGTATAGTGAACACTGATCTTACTGTGTATAGTGAACACTGATCTTACTGTGTATAGTGAACACTGATCTGTGTATAGTGAACATGTACTTACTGTGTATAGTGAACATGATCTTACTGTGTATAGTGAACACTGATCTTACTGTGTATAGTGAACCATGATCTTACTGTGTATAGGTGAACACTGGTTGTTTTTTTACTGTGTCTAGTGAACGCAACTGGTTGAGTCTTACTGGGCATAGTGAACACTGTTAGTCTTACTGTGTATAGTGAAACACAGGTTTATCTTTCTGTTGTTATAGTGAATCTGGTTGGTCTTACTGTGTATAGTGAACACTGGTTGGTCTTACTGTGTATAGTGAACACTGGTTGGTCTTACTGTGTATAGTGAACACTGGTTGGTCTTACTGTGTATAGTGAACACTGGTTGATCTTACTGTGTATAATGAACACTGATCTTACTGTGTACAGTGAACACTGATCTTACTGTGTATAGTGAACACTGGTTGATCTTACTGTGTATAGTGAACACTGGTTGATCTTACTGTGTATAGTGAACACTGATCTTACTGTGTATAGTGAACACTGATCTTACTGTGTATAGTGAACACTGGTTGGTCTTACTGTGTATAGTGAACACTGGTTGATCTTACTGTGTATAGTGAACACTGATTGATCTTACTGTGTATAGTGAACATGATCTACTGTGTATAAGTGAACACTGTATCTTTCTGTGTATAGTGAAACACTATCTTATGTGTATAGTGAACACTGATCTTACTGTGTATAGTGAACACTGATCTTACTGTGTATAGTGAACACTGATCTTACTGTGTATAGTGAACACTGATCTTACTGTGTATAGTGAACACTGATCTTACTGTGTATAGTGAACACTGATCTTACTGTGTATAGTGAACACTGATCTTACTGTGTATAGTGAACACTGGTTGGTCTTACTGTGTATAGTGAACACTGGTTGGTCTTACTGTGTATAGTGAACACTGGTTGGTCTTACTGTGTATAGTGAACACTGGTTGATCTTACTGTGTATACGTGAACACTGGTTGCTCTATTGTGTATAGTGAACAGCTGGTTGATTGATCTTTACTGTGTATAGTGAACACTGGTTGGTCTTACTGTGTATAGTGAACACTGGTTGATCTTAGTGTGTATAGTGAACACTGGTTGATCTTACTGTGTATAGTGAACACTGGTTGGTCTTACTGTGTATAGTGAACACTGGTTGGTCTTACTGTGTATAGTGAACACTGGTTGGTCTTACTGTGTATAGATGAACACTGGTTGGTCTTACTGTGTATAGTGAACACTGGTTAATCTTACTGTGTATAGTGAACACTGGTTGGTCTTACTGAGGTTACTTAACAAAGGTTACTTAACAGAGGTTATAACAGAGGTTACTTAACAGAGGTTACTTAACAGAGGTTACTTAACAGAGGTTACTTAACAAAGGTTACTTAACAGAGGTTACTTAACAGAGGTTATAACAGAGGTTACTTAACAGAGGTTACTTAACAGAGGTTACTTTAATCAGAGGTTATAACAGCGGTTTACTTAACAGAGGTTACTTAAACAGAGGTACTTAAAACAGAGGTTACTTAAGAGGTTTACTTAACAAAGGTTACTTAACAGAGGTTATAACAGAGGTTACTTAACAAAGGTTACTTAACAGAGGTTATAACAGAGGTTACTTAACAAAGGTTACTTAACAGAGGTTACTTAACAGAGGTTATAACAGAGGTTACTTAACAGATGTTATAACAGAGGTTACTTAACAGAGGTTACTTAAGAGGTTACTTAACAAAGGTTACTTAACAGAGGTTATAACATGTTACTTAACAGAGGTTACTTAAGAGGTTACTTAACAAAGGTTACTTAACAGAGGTTACTTAACAGAGGTTATAACAGAGGTTACTTAACAAAGGTTACTTAACAGAGGTTATAACAGAGGTTACTTAACAGAGGTTACTTAAGAGGTTACTTAACAAAGGTTACTTAACAAAGGTTACTTAACAGATGTTATACAGGGTTACTTAACAGAGGTTACTTAACAGAGGTTATAACAGAGGTTACTTAACAGAGGTTACTTAAGAGGTTATTTAACAAAGGTTACTTAACAGAGGTTATAACAGAGGTTACTTAACAAAGGTTACTTAACAAAGGTTACTTAACAGAGGTTATAACAGAGGTTACTTAACAAAGGTTACTTAACAAAGGTTACTTAACAGAGGTTATAACAGAGGTTATAACAGAGGTTACTTAACAGAGGTTACTTAAGAGGTTACTTAACAAAGGTTAGTTAACAGAGGTTACTTAACAGAGGTTACTTAACAGAGGTTACTTAAGAGGTTACTTAACAAAGGTTACTTAACAAAGGTTACTTAACAGAGGTTATAACAGAGGTTACTTAACAAAGTACTTAAACAAAGGTTACTTAACAGAGTTACTTAGCAGAGGTTACTTAAGAGGTTACTTAACAAAGGTTACTTAACAAAAAAAACAAAGGTTACTTTACAGAGGGTATAACAGAGGTACTTAACAGAGGTTACTTAAGAGGTTACTTAACAAAGGTTACTTAACAGAGGTTATAACAGAGGTTACTTAACAAAGGTTACTTAACAAAGGTTACTTAACAGAGGTTATAACAGAGGTTACTTAACAAAGGTTACTTAACAAAGGTTACTTAACAGAGGTTATAACAGAGGTTATAACAGAGGTTACTTAACAGAGGTTACTTAACAAAGGTTACTTAACAAAGGTTACTTAACAGAGGTTATAACAGAGGTTACTTAACAAAGGTTACTTAACAAAGGTTACTTAACAGAGGTTACTTAACAGAGGTTACTTAAGAGGTTACTTAACAAAGGTTACTTAACAGAGGTTACTTAAGAGGTTACTTAACAAAGGTTACTTAACAGAGGTTATAACAGAGGTTACTTAACAAAGGTTACTTAACAAAGGTTACTTAACAGAGGTTATAACAGGGGTTACTTAACAGAGGTTATAACAGAGGTTACTTAACAAAGGTTACTTAACAGAGGTTACTTAACAAAGGTTACTTAACAAAGGTTACTTAACAGAGGTTATAACAGAGGTTACTTAAGAGGTTACTTAACAAAGGTTATAACAGAGGTTACTTAACAGAGGTTACTTTACAAAGGTTACTTAACAAAGGTTACTTAACAGAGGTTATAACAGAGGTTACTTAACAGAGGTTACTTAAGAGGTTACTTAACAAAGGTTACTTAAGAGGTTACCCATAACCACGGTCTTGTTTTTTTTGTTTTGACAATTAATGAAACACATTTTGACAGACGTCTTGGCGAGGCGAGACCTGACGCTATACATAACCAGATAACAAATGCTTTAAGTCCGCATACAGACATACGTAGCATTTAATACCTCAGGTGTAAAGCCCCTGGTTATACCGACACTTCCAATCCACCAGGTATTATACGTCACCTTGATATACCCAGGGTGGTAACTACCCTCTTAGTGTCACTCGTATATATGAAGTGACCTTACTGGTGTGCCAGCTGACCTTACTGGTGTGTCAGCTGACCTTACTGGTGTGTCAGCTGACCTTACTGGTGTGTCAGCTGACCTTACTGGTGTGTCAGCTGACCTTACTGGTGTGTCCAGCTGACTTTACTGGTAGTGTGTCAGCTGGACCTTATGGTGTGTCAGCTGCCTATGGTGTGTCAGCTGACCTACTGGTGTGTCAGCTGACCTTATTGGTGTGTCACAGCTGACCTTATGGTGTGTCAGTGACCTTACTGGTGTGTCTTTCTGACTTACTGGTTATTTTTTGTGTCAGCTGCCCTTACGGGTGTCTCTTCAGCTGATCCTTACTGGTGTGTCATGACCTTACTGGTGTGTCAGCGGACCTTATTGGTGTGTCAGCTGACCTTACTGGTGTGTCAGCTGACCTTACTGGTGTGTCAGCTGACCTTACTGGTGTGTCAGCTGACCTTACTGGTGTGTCAGCTGACCTTATTGGTGTGTCAGCTGACCTTACTGGTGTGTCAGCTGACCTTCTGGTGTCTCAGCTGACCTTACTGGTGTGCCAGCTGCCCTTACTGGTGTGCCAGCTGACCTTTACTGGTGTGTCAGCTGACCTTTCTGGTGTGGTCAGCACCTGACCTTACTGGTGTGTCAGTGACCTTTATGGTGTGCCAGCTGAACTTACTGTTGTGTCAGTTGGACTTCTGGTGTAAGGCAGCTGAACTTACTGGTGTGCCACCTGGACCTTATGTGTGTGTCAGCTGGACCTACTGGTGGTGTCAGCTGACCTTACTGATGTGCCAGTTGACCTTACTGGTGTGTCAGCTGACCTTACTGGTGTGTCAGCTGACCTTACTGGTGTGTCAGCTGACCTTACTGATGTGCCAGCTGACCTTACTGGTGTGCCAGCTGACCTTACTGGTGTGTCAGCTGACCTTACTGGTGTGTCAGCTTGACCTTATGGATGTGTCAGCTGACCTTACTGGTGGGGTCAGCATGACCTTTACTGGTGTGTCAGCTGACCTTACTGGTGTGTCAACTGACCTTACTGGTGTGTCAGCTGACCTTAATGGTGTGCCAGCTGACCTTAATGGTGTGTCAGCTGACCTTACTGGTGTGTCAGCTGACCTTACTGGTGTGTCAGCTGACCTTACTGGTGTGTCAGCTGACCTTACTGGTGTGTCAGCTGACCTTAATGGTGTGCCAGCTGACCTTACTAGTGTGTCAGCTGACACACCATGACCTCCTGACTTTTACCCTCCTCCACTGTCAGCAACACTGATGTTATTGTACAACTTCCGGCTATACCTTCAACCCGCCCCTTCAGTGTATATCCCTGGTTACCCTTCAACCCTGCTTCTCCAGTGTGTATCCCTGGTTACCCTTCAACCCTGCTTCTCCAGTGTGTATCCCTGGTTACCCTTCAACCCTGCTTCTCCAGTGTGTAATCCCTGGTTACCTTGACACCCTGCTTCTCCGGTGTGTATCCCTGGTTACCCTTCAACCCTGCTTCTCCAGTGTGTATCCCTGGTTACCCTTCATCTCTGCCCCTTCAGTGTGTATCCCTGGTTACCCTTCAACCCTGCTTTTCCAGTGTGTATCCCTGGTTACCCTTCAACCCTGCCCCTCCAGTATCCCCTGTTATACCTCCTCCCCCTCCCGCGCCTAGTGCTGGTATCCCTGCCTGATACTTGGTAGAGCCAACTTACCTGACCCTCAGTCATATTGTGAGTGATGTCCCAGCTGGTGCTGGGGTGTCCCAGGTGGTGCTGGGGTGTCCCAGGTGGTGCTGGGGTGTCCCAGGTGGTGCTGGGGTGTCCCAGGTGGTGCTGCGGGTGTCCTAGGTGGTGCTGTTGGGTGTCCCAGGTGGTGCTGGGGTGTCCCAGGTGGTGCTGGGGTGTCCCAGGTGGTGCTGGGGTATCCCAGGTGGTACTTGGGGTATCCCAAGTGGTGCTGGGATTCCCATAACTCTCTTAGTCAGAGATATGTACACCCATCGGTTATACACACTTTTCAATACTTAATTACCTTAATTATCCTTAATTACCTAATTTCTATATTTGGTTTCAAGTCTATCCACTACACGAGGGTCATTAAGGCTACGTAACACCTGTGCCCCACCATCAAGGTGACGTCTACTATCAATAGACATTAAATAAAAAAATGTGTATATACATCGATACACACCTCTCGGGGCATACACATGGAGATAGGCAGCACTTGTGTGTATATACACTGATATATATCTTGTATATACACTGGTATATATCTCTTGTATATACACAGGAAGGCATTTCTCAGACACACTTATCAGTGTTCACTAGAGTAGTGTTTTAACCTCTTAACACTGAGTGAACCTGATAAACTCAAGTCTGTGAACACTACTGCCAGGTTCTGGAGGTTCTTGAACCACTAAGTTCACCCACTGACTGCACCTGGCACACTAATGTCTATAAGTTCCACTTCTAAGTTCAAACTTGTTCATAAACCCTTTGAACAAAGGCCTCGACCTCTCCACACTCGTCCTTTACTACCAGTTATCAGGCTGACCATTATTTAGAGTTAACATATATATGCAACATGGTTAAATATACGGCATGAGGCATCTCTAAGGAGTCTGTGGTTAATTGGGACTTCATATGTCCCACGTCCGGATATTAATATATATATATTTACTAACAGTACATGTACAGGGTATACCAGTACATGTACAAGGTATACCAGTACATGTACAAGGTATACCAGTACATGTACAGGTATACAGTACATGTACAAGGTATACCAGTACATGTTACAGTAATGGTATGCCAGTACATGTACAAGGTATACCAGTACATGTACAAGGTATACCAGTACATGTACAAGGTATACCAGTACATGTACAAGGTATACCAGTACATGTACAAGGTATACCAGTACATGTACAGGTATACAGACCATAGCTGACATCAGTGACATACTACTATATAGAAAGTCCCTTGTTATGTACAGCATTTCCCGCAAATTATGTCAGTTTTGTCCCAGGATGTGACCCACACCAGTCCACTAACACCCAGGATGTGACCCACACCAGTCCACTAACACCCAGGATGTGACCCACACCAGTCCACTAACACCCAGGATGTGACCCACACCAGTCCACTAACACCCAGGATGTGACCCACACCAGTCCACTAACACCCAGGATGTGACCCAAACCAGTCCACTAACACCCAGGATGTGACCCACACCAGTCCACTAATACCCAGGATGTGACCCACACCAGTCCACTAACACCCAGGATGTGACCCACACCAGTCCACTAACACCCAGGATGTGACCCACACCAGTCCACTAACACCCAGGATGTGACCCACACCAGTCCACTAACACCCAGGATGTGACCCACACCAGTCCACTAACACCCAGGATGTGACCCACACCAGTCCACTAACACCCAGGATGCCACCCACACCAGTCCACTAACACCCAGTATGTGACCCACACCAGTCCACTAACACCCAGGATGTGACCCACACCAGTCCACTAACACCCAGGAGTGACACACACCAGTCCACTAACACCCGGATGTGACCCACACCAGTCCACTAACACCCAGGATGTGACCCACACAGTCCACTAACACCCAGGATGCCACCCACACCAGTCCACTAACACCCAGGATGTGACCCACACCAGTCCACTAACACCCAGGATGTGACCCACACCAGTCCACTAACACCCAGGATGCCACCCACACCAGTCCACTAACACCCAGGATGCCACCCACACCAGTCCACTAACACCCAGGATGTGACCCACACCAGTCCACTAACACCAGGATGTCACCCACACCAGTCCACTAACACCCAGGATGTGACCCACACCAGTCCACTAACACCCAGGATGTGACCCACACCAGTCCACTAACACCCAGGATGTGACCCACACCAGTCCACTAACACCCAGGATGTGACCCACACCAGTCCACTAACACCCAGGATGTCACCCACACCAGTCCACTAACACCCAGGATATGACCCACACCAGTCCACTAACACCCAGGATGTGGCCCACACCAGTCCACTAACACCCAGGATGTGACCCACACCAGTCCACTGACACCCAGGATGCCACCCACACCAGTCCACTAACACCCAGGATGTGACCCACACCAGTCCACTAACACCCAGGATGTGACCCACACCAGTCCACTAACACCCAGGATGCCACCCACACCAGTCCACTAACACCCAGGATGCCACCCACACCAGTCCACTGACACCCAGGATGCCACCCACACCAGTCCACTAACACCCAGGATGTGACCCACACCAGTCCACTAACACCCAGGATGTGACCCACACCAGTCCACTAACACCCAGGATGTGACCCACACCAGTCCACTAACACCCAGGATGCCACCCACACCAGTCCACTAACACCCAGGATGCGACCCACACCAGTCCACTAACATTATTCCTTATGGAAACAAATTCGTTCGGTATCAGCACTCAAACAGTGATACCTCGTATCCCGAGGTATCACCGTATTTGCTTGTTCCTATAACACGTTTTACCGAGCCTTGGGTAAAAACACGTTACAAAGGATACTTCACTACCAGTGTCTTATTTCCACTTGTCAGTTTTTGCCATTGTCTACCACCGTTATTTCTCTTATTTTTTGGTTTATCGTTATTTTTTCTCCCTGACAGTACATTGATAAACCAGTGTGGGGAAAACAACCGATGTGGTAGAAGCGCCAAAAAACAAAAATTCATTGACCTACAACGAAAACCAAACTAGAAGATGCATCATTATAAAGACGCATTTATTGACCTCATGGGCGGATCTATGGGTGAGTACACACTACGTTACCGTATAATTAACCTCCATAAGCCATGTGTTCTAGTGGTACACTCTGTAATCACAATTTTACTACATGTAAATCAAACAATAACCAAATTTCTGTAAACTCAGCATTGTAATCCTTATAGAGAATAAACTTTGAATTTGAATTTGAATGTGTGTCCTAAGAGGCGACTCAAATGCCGGCAGCAAGAGACTGGTAACCCCCTTCTCCTGTATTCATTAATAAATTTAAAAAAGGAGAAAACTTTACATTTCTTCCTTTTTGGGACACCCCGTCTTGGTGGGGGACGGTCAGTGCTTAAAAAAAAACATTAACTTACGCACGTATGAGAATTTGCATCATTCAGCCATACAGTGAAAAGTCAGAAATTGAGGGAAAAAAATTTCAGTACAGTGGACCACCGGTTTACGATATTATTTCATTCCAGAAGTATGTTCAGGTGCCAGTACTGAACAAATTTGTTCCCATAAAGAATATTGTGAATTAGATTAGTCCATTTCAGACCCCCAAACATACACATACAAACGCACTTACATAAATACACTTACATAATTAGTCGCATTAGGAGCTGATCGTAAACCGGGGTCCACTGTATATATAACAATTTTAAAGTCACACCCATGTTACTCTTGACTGTCTTACAATACAATTTTTATTTCTTTATGCTGCATAAATGATGTAGTTTATGTATTATAAAACGCTGATAGGCACAAATAAAAATCTACTCATATGCAATGACACTTCTGGCAAACTAATCCAAATGCTTAAATGTTACTTAGGATTTATTTATAGACTATTAAGTAGGATTTCTTATGCAGTTAACTACAGTCATATATACAAAAAGAAAAGTTGCTGAACAAATGGCACAGTTTCATAAAAATGACTTATTTCAGACAGATTCAATGATCTTCGGTTTTGTGGATTATTATTGCAGCCTCTAAGTCAGTTCCTGATCAGCCGGGCTGTGGCTCGTACATTGGTTTGCGTGCAGCCAGCAGCAACAGCCTGGTTGATCAGGCTCTGATCCACCAGGAGGCCTGGTCACAGACCGGGCCTTGGGGGCGTTGACCCCCGGAACTCTCTCCAGATAGTCCAGATCCAGATAGCCTCTCCCCACTTAATGACAGAGTTGCATTCCTAAGACCACGTCGGTGAACGAATCTGTCGCTAAGTGAGGAGCATATTATAATGGTAGTGGATTTGTGTCAACCATCTAGGATATTGTTTTAATGTTTCTTTTGCACCATTTCTAACATTTTTAGTATATTTTTAAATATTTATACAGTAGTGTATTGTATATTGCAATAAACAGACTTAGAGGCAATCAACTCTAATATACATTATTTAGATATGCGTACTGGTCAGGGCTCGTCGTAAGTCCGAGTCGTCAATAAACGAGTATGTAAAGTAAAAGGACACAAGTGCAACTAATGTGACATTTTATTGTGGCAATGTATCGCTCTCCAGGAGCTTTGTCAAGCCGATACGTTGCCACAATAAAATGCCACATTAGTTGCACTTGTGTCCTTTTACTTTACATAGTCGGTAATTCTACAAACATTATTACAATAAATGAGTACTTTGCTAAGTGAGGAGAGGCTGTATTGTAATCAAAATTAAGTGCTAAATCCATTAGGGTCGTACAGCTCAGATGAAGAAGAAACACGAAGTTACTTTCTTCCAACAGAAATACACAAATAACCCGCACAGAGGAGAGAAAAACTTACGACAGCATTTCAACTTGAACTTCATGATGGTACAGAAGCAATTAGTGACGATGGGAGACGGCCAATGTGTTAAAAAATTTTTTTATATCAGACTTACGATATTTTTGACTTACAATGGCTTGTCAGAACATAACCCCATCGTAAGTCAAGGAGCCTCTGTATTATTCCAGTCACGGTATTACGCCTTTTTCTTCTCTACTGACCTTCCGATGATTATTATTTATCTTATGGACATATGAAAGCTTAAAAAATAATATTAAGCTAATCATAATAATAATAATAATATATGTAATTTATTTCTTCGTAATGGTTACAGTGTGTGTTTACATTTCATAATTTGACCGGTACAAAGAAAACCACTTTCATGCCGAGGCATTTTGGGCAGACTTAACCTAATACTTAAAGACTACTTAAGTCTAGACAGGTGAAGAGTGGTAATAATAATAATAATAATAATAATAATAATAATAATAATAATAATAATAATAATAATAATAATAATTATAATAATAATTATAATAATAATAATAATAATAATAATAATAATAATAATGTTTATTTCAGCATGATACAATGTTTGTACAATGGTGAATGATATTTGGGTGTGCATGCAGAAAGACCATATATACATATACATGTACGTATATATATGCAGAGAATTTTGGGCAAACTTAAGACTAACTTAAGATTAAGAAGGCAATAACAATTTTGAACAGTTATTTAAGTGAGTGTAAGTGTAAATTTAGGTGTTTAAAATGAATACAAGAGAACTGGATATCCAATTACTTCTTTCTATATGACTTTTATCAAGTATAATTGTTAAGGAATTACACGTTTGATTATTAACCTAAAGGGGACACAGTTGTTTATTGTTTGGGATGATAACGGATATTGAGAGTAAGTTTATATTGTTTATAATGTTGAATATGCATATATAGTTACAGTATTTTCCTCACTGCTGATGTGTACTACAGGTGGCGTAGCTGCCGTTTACGTTGGCCAGCCGCTGGACACTGTCAAAGTGAAGATGCAAACATTTCCTGACCTCTACAAGAGGATGACTGGTTGCTTCATGCAGACGCTCCGGCGGGATGGTATCCGAGGTCTCTATGCTGGCACTGTTCCAGCACTTGCGGCAAATATTGCAGAGAATTCTGTCCTCTTTGCAGCTTATGGCGTGTGTCAAAAGGGTGTGGCGTATGCTCTTGGCACACAAGTGAGTAGATCTTATGTTGAATCTGCATACTATGATATTTTCTGGCTTATAAGGTGCACTTTTCCCCAAAAAAAAGTCTTGGAAAATCAGCCTGCACCTTATATGTCAATGTCAGGGTCAAGGGTAGGCTTTGGGTCATGCTTTAGCAGCTGTTTACTAATGATATGTTACACCTGTTTGGAAACATCCTAGGTTAGGTCAGGTTAGGTTAAGTCAAGTTATGTTAGGTTAAGTTAGGTTAGGTTAGGTGTGTTAGCAAAGAAGGCAAGTACAGTGGACCCCCGGTTTACGATATTATTTCATTCCAGAAGTATGTTCAGGTGCCAGTACTGACCGAATTTGTTCCCATAAGGAATATTGTGAAGTAGATTAGTCCATTTCAGACCCCCAAACATACACGTACAAACGCACTTACATAAATACACTTACATAATTGGTCACATTGGGAGCTTATCGTAAAGCGGGGGTCCACTGTATTTCCTTCCACTGGTCTTAGTCATATGAAGACCCACAGTTGGAACTTTTGGTCATCTGACCGAGGCCTTCCACTGGCTTACCACTTCACCACTTTAAAAATTATGGCTATGATTATAACTATTTCATATTAGTTGTTATAAACATCTTGTATACTTGGGTGCCTTATGTGACAAAAAATATGGTACATATATATATATTTATAACACAATGACAGTTGTTGGGTGAGTGATGGTAAATGTTTTCTCTTTTTTGTTACCTACACTGTGAAAGGTGACGAAGGTAGAAATAAAAAAAAAAACAATCTTATAATGGGTGGGAAATTTATTGGCTAACTTAAGTTTTAAAAGGTACACATTACTGATATGTAGAGTGGTTAGGTTATAAATGGACCAGTTTAGTGTGCTCACCTAACAGTAAATAGGAACACCTGGGTGTTAGTCACCTTACATCTGCTGTCACTGTTCACCTAGCAGTAAGTAGGTACACCTGGGTGTTAGTCACCTTACATCTGCTGTCACTGTTCACCTAGCAGTAAGTAGGTACACCTGGGTGTTAGTCACCTTACATCTGCTGTCACTGTTCACCTAGCAGTAAGTAGGTGCCTGGGTGTTAGTCACCTTATACCCGCTGTCATCCAGGGACTTACTGCTAGGTCAACAGTGATAACAGTGTAGAAAGCCCATGGTTATGCAGGGCATTCAGGTAAGCTTAACCTTAATTCCTAATATAGCTACTGTATTTTGTATCCTATAATATTTTGACAGACACCGCATAACCGATACTCTGGTTTGGTCCTCGAACGAAGCAGAGTCTGAACGATTTTGTTTAGAAAAAATTGATCTGATATTTGAACGTTCTTCTGGAGTCTGAATGATTTTGTCCAGAAAAAATTAACCCAGTCTTTGAAGGCTTTTCTGGAGTCCAAACAATTTTGTAAAAAAAAAAAAAAAAAAAAAAAAAGACCTGGTTTCTATGGTTTCAGTTATCCGCAGTTTACCCCGGCCTGAAATTAACCCTTAATTTTGCTTAATAACACCGACGTGCAACAGTAAGGATGCTGGCAGTTCCTCAGAGCCTAAAAAATGCCGTGAAGTGCTTCCCGTCAGTGAAAAACTGCTAATTCTCACTTATTGCGTGTAATTTATTAATTAAACTTTATCCTAAGTACAGTGGACCCCCGCATAACGATTACCTCGGAATGCGACCAATTATGTAAGTGTATTTATGTAAGTGCGTTTGTACGTGTATGTTTGGGAGTCTGAAATGGACTAATCTACTTCACAATATTTCTTATGGGAACAAATTCGGTCAGTACTGGCACCTGAACATACTTCTGGAGTGAAAAAATATCGTTAACCGGGGGTCCACTGTACACCTACCCTCCGACTTACGACCGAGCTCGGTTCTGACCAACTGGTTGCAAGTCAAAATGGACATAAGTCGAACTTTACTACTGGATATCAACATCACATTTTTGTAATGACTTCTATTGTTTTATTTTGGTATTTCATGTTTTACTTTACTTTTTATGCTGTTAGTACTGTGTTTTATACTGTAAGGTTTAGGATAAACACTGTGTACAACACAAATAGTTTATTTCTCAGAAATTTGGCATAAAAAACAAGGTCGTAAGTCGAGTGGTCGTATGTCGAGCAGGTCGTAAGTTGGATGGTAGGTGTACATATGTAAACAAAAAATTGCTTAAATGTAGGGTTCGCTACTATCCACGGTTTTGGGCATCTGTGGTAGGTCTTGGAACATGTTCCCCATGTATACAGGGGCCCTACTGTATATAACTACTGTACCGAACTCATATTTACACCCCAGACAGTGTCAAGGTGCATAATAAAACTATAGAACTATTGTTACCTAAAAGAATTTAGGGCCCAGTTCCTGGACCCATTATGTACTTCAGTAATCTTGCAACTGCCATCTATTACATGATATAACTACCATATCAAACTCAATTTTATACCCCACAGAGAGTTGAAGATCTGTCGAGCTTCAGCAATGCGACAGCGGGATTTCTTGCAGCGTTCTTCTCATCCCTTACCTTATGTCCAACTGAATTAGTCAAGTGTCGACTGCAAGCCATGAGAGAGGTTGATCTCAAGAGTAATAAGGATCCAGTAGGTTATTATACATGTACTGTATTTTATTATTATTTTATTATCACACTGGCCGATTCCCACCAAGGCAGGGTGGCCCGAAAAAGAAAAACTTTCACCATCATTCACTCCATCACTGTCTTGCCAGAAGGGTGCTTTACACTACAGTTTTTAAACTGCAACATTAACACCCCTCCTTCAGAGTGCAGGCACTGTACTTCCCATCTCCAGGACTCAAGTCCGGCCTGCCGGTTTCCCTGAATCCCTTCATAAATGTTACTTTGCTCACACTCCAACAGCTCGTCAAGTATTAAAAACCATTTGTCTCCATTCACTCCTATCAAACACGCTCAGTCTTAATCACAAGTAGTATATACTCATCCAAGCGACTATGCATAAAATTATATAGGGGCTTTCTGCATGTACACCCAAACATCATTCACCTTTGTACAAACAAAGTATTTCTATTACTGTAACACCTAATTATTACAACAGGTTTGTGGAGTGTAACATTCCTAGAATTTGTGCACAACTAAACACTAAATCATAGACTTGAGTCCTGGAGGTTGGAGGTACAGTTAAGTGCCTGCAGTCTGCAGGCACTTAACCTATCCTCGCCCATCATAAATAAATGTGTAAAAACCATGCGTGCATTTGCTCAATACCAAGAACTTGGCTAAAAACATGATTTATTTATTTATTTATTTTTTATTTATTTAGTAATTTTAGCATACAAACAGAGGTACAAAAAAATACAGGTAAGAGCAGCATGCCAAAGTCACTTATATGCATAGCATTACGGGCTGGCTTAAAATTAACTTAAGATTAACTAAGCAATGATGAAATCAGTGATAAAACATTATTGTAAACAGATAACTATAAAGCACAAATGAGTATTACAAAGACAGGTCATATGGTTGCTTGCATTGCTGTACATTCAGTAGAATGGAGTATTCTGTTAGGTAGTGTATTTAAAAAATAATAAAGTTAGATTGGGTTTTAGGTTTAACATTTATGTGATATAATTGTGAGAAACATTTAAGATATACAATTTATAAGGTTCAGTTATTCAGTATTTATTTGGTTTTGGGTGAGTAAGTGATCTTTGAGAAGAGACTTGAATTTATAAACAGGTAGTGTTTCTTTTATATTTACAGGTAGTGTTTCTTTTATATTTACAGGTAATGAATTCCAGATTTTAGGGCCTTTTATGTGCATTGAGTTTTTGCATAGTGTGAGATGGACACGAGGAACATCAAAGAGTGATCTGTGCCTTGTGTTATGGTCATGTGTTCTGTTGAGGTTGGCAAGAAGTTTTAGGGGAGGGTTAATATCAGAGTTAAGTGTTCTATGTATGTAATAGGTGCAGTAATAAGTATGGATGTTTTGTATGGTGAGTAGGTTGAGTGTTTTGAATATTGGTGGAGTGTGCTGCCTGTAGTGGGAATTTGTTATCATTCTAACTGCAGCCTTTTGTTGGGTAATTAGTGGTCTGAGATGGTTAATTGTTGTTGAGTCCCATGTACAAATTCCATAGGTGAGATAGGGGTAAATAAGAGAGTGATAAAGGGCCAGGAGGCTGACTCTGGAACATAGTACCGTATCTTCGATAGTATGCCTACGGTCTTGGAACCTCAAATATCGAACTTTCTTCAGTCCAGAAGGCTGTCCAAGTGTCGTTACCAAATGAATTTATTTCCATCAGGAATAATGTAAATTAGATTAGTCCATTTCAAACCCTCAAAAATACACTTATAAAAGCACTTACAAAAATACACTTACATAATTGGTTGAGTTGGGAGCAGTTCGATTTTTGAGGTTCCACTGTAGTATACTTATTCTCAATATCTGTAATCCTCTCAAATGTTAATCATTCCATTGTGTCAAACTCAGGTTAATAATTAAAATTAATTCTTCTCTACCAAACTTATTAAAGCTATATAGCATGAACGAATAGAATATTTAATTTTTTTTTATTCATTGTAACTCGTCTAATGATCATGTGTACAATTACTGCACTGTTGTTGCCTTATTAATCTTTAGTGTAAAGTTTGCCTGAGATGGTCTGCATATAAAGGAGCTTTTGGCATGTTCACCCAGTTATACTCCTTTATAAAAACTTTATGTAACACACACACACACACACACACACACACACACACACACACACACACACACACACACACAACACACACACACCACACACACACCATGCACACACCACGCACACACACCACACACACACACACACACCACACACACACACCACACATACACACAGACACACACACACACCACACACACACACCACACACACCATGCACACACAACACACACACACCATGCACACACACCACACACAACACACACACACCACACACACAACCCCGCACACACAACCCAGCACACACAACCCCGCACACACAACCCCATACACACACACCACACATACACACACAACACACCCCTCTCATGGAGTGGGGGGAGAGAGGGCCCAGTAGCAACCGGTGAAGAGGAGGGGCCAGGAGCTAAGACTCGACCCCTGCAACCACAAATAGGTGAGTACAAATAGGTGAGTACACACACACACCACACACACACACATACACACACAACACACACACAACACACACACAACACACACACAACACACACACAACACACACAACACACACACAACACACACACAATACACACACACACAACACACCACACAACACACACACAAACACACACACACACACCACATACATACACGCACACACACACACACACACCACACACACACACACACAACACACACAACACACACAACACAACACACACACAACACCAGGAAATCAGAACAGGGGGGTACACCAGCAAGTGCTGGATGAGGTACATATAACCAAGGAGGAAGTGAAGAAGCTGCTATGCGAACTTGACACCTCAAAGGTGGTGGGACCAGACATCTCTCCGTGGGTCCTTAAAGAGGGAGCAGAGATGCTGTGTGTGCCATTAACAAAGATCTTCAACACATCATTTGAAACTGGGCAACTCCCTGAGGTATGGAAGATGGCAAATGTAGTCCCAATTTTTAAAAAGGGAGACAGACATGAGGCACTAAACTACAGACCTGTATCACTAACGTGTATAGTATGCAAGGTCATTGAGAAGATCATCAGGAGGAGAGTGGTGGAGCACCTGGAAAGAAACAAGTGTATAATTGACAACCAGCATGGTTTCAGGGAGGGAAAATCCTGTGTCACAAGCCTACTAGAGTTTTATAACAAGGTGACAGAAATAAGACAAGAGAGAGAGGGGTGGATCGACTGCATTTTTTTTGGACTGCAAGAAGGCCTTCGACACAGTTCCTCACAAGAGGTTACTGCAAAAGCTAGAGGATCAGGCACACATAACAGGAAAGGCACTGTAATGGATCAGAGAATACCTGACAGGGAGGCAACGAGTCATGGTACGTGACGAGGTGTCAAAGTGGGCGCCTGTGACAAGCGGGGTTCCACAGGGGTCAGTCCTAGGACCTGTGCTGTTCTTGGTATATGTGAACGACATAACGGAAGGGATAGACTCAGAAGTGTCCTTGTTTGCAGATGATGTGAAGTTAATGAGAAGAATCAAATTGGATGAGGATCAGGTAGGACTACAAAGAGACCTGGACAGGCTACAAGCCTGGTCCAGCAACTGGCTCCTTGAGTTTAACCCTGCCAAATGCAAAGTCATGAAGATTGGGGAAGGGCATAGAAGACTGCAGACACAATATAGTTTAGATGGCTAAAGACTGCAAACCTCACTCAAGGAAAAAGATCTGGGGGTGAGTATAGCACCGAGCATATCTCCTGAGGCACACATCAATCAGATAACTGCTGCAGCATACGGGCGCCTGGCAAATCTACGGATAGCGTTCCGATACCTCAGTAAGGATTCGTTCAAGACTCTGTATACCCTTTACATCAGGCCTATACTGGAGTATGCAGCACCTGTTTAGAATCCACACCTAGTCAAGCGCATCAAGAAATTAGAGAAAGTGCAAAGGTTTGCAACAAGACTAGTCCCAGAGCTACGGGGATTGTCCTACGAAGAAAGGTTGAGGGAAATCGGCCTGACGACACTGGAGGACAGGAGGGTCAGGGGAGACATGATAACGACATATAAAATACTGCGGGGAATAGACAAGGTGGACAAAGACGGGATGTTCCAGAGATGGGACACAGACACAAGAGGTCACAATTGGAAGTTGAAGACTCAGATGAATCAAAGGGATGTTAGGAAGTATTTCTTCAGTCATAGAGTAGTCAAGCCGTGGAATAGCCTAGAAAGTGACGTAGTGGAGGCGGGAACCATACATAGTTTTAAGGCGAGGTATGATAAAGCTCATGTAGCAGGGAGAGAGAGGACCTAGTAGCAATCAGTGAAGAGGCGGGGCCAGGAGCTATGACTCGACCCCTGCAACCACAAATAGGTGAGTACAAATAGGTGAGTACACATGCACACACACACACACACACACACACACACACGCACGCACGCACGCACGCACACACACACACACACACAGTACAGTATATAAAAAAAAAATTAAAATTAAGAAACATTATGAGCAATGTATGCAAACACTCAATGCAAAAATAATTTGTAAGATGAAAAACTTGGAATGTGTCTCATTTGTAAGTCAAAAAAACAGGAACGTGTTTTGTTTGTAAAGCCAAAAAAACGGGAATGTGTCTCGTTTGAAAATCAGAAAACCAGGAATGTGACTTGTTTGTACATTTCATAATACAGCCCATGTACTGAATCATAAAAGGGAATTAGGTGGCCCGGTGGCCTGGTGGCCCGGTGGCCCGGTGGCTAAAGCTCCCGCTTCACACACGGAAGGCCCGGGTTCAATTCCCGGCGGGTGGAAACATTCGACACGTTTCCTTACACCTGTTGTCCTGTTCACCTAGCAGCAAATAGGTACCTGGGTGTTAGTGGACTGGTGTGGGTGGCATCCTGGGGGACAAGATTAAGGACCACAATGGAAATAAGTTAGACAGTCCTCGATGACGCACTGACTTTCTTGGGTTATCCTGGGTGGCTAACCCTCCGCGGTTAAAAATCCGAACGAAATCTTATCTTCTTCCACAGACACGTATTGGACCTTGGAAGCTAACCAGACACATCTTGAGAGCAGAAGGGGTTCCAGGGCTGTTCAGAGGTTTGACCTCTACATTTGCAAGAGAAATGCCAGGATATTTCTTCTTCTTTGGAGGGTACGAGGCAAGTAGATCGCTCCTGACTCCAGCCGGAAAAACGAAAGACGAAATTGGTAAGTTCAGTTTTGTTTCCTTGCGTTTTCCTTGAACTATAGTAAAAAAAGACTTGGATAGAAAGACAGTTTGTATTATCTTGGTGACCTGTCTTCACTGTTTCCTGCATGGAGGATTGAGCCTCCACTGCTGACACCGAATGACCTCCATGAGTTTAGTGCTTCATATAAGTATAATAAGGAAGTAGACACACAAAAATGTGATTTTGAATTCACTATTTCCTTTTCAAGTGAAAACTTTTTAAGCATAATTCAATCCACAGGTCCCTTGAGGACTATGTTATGTGGTGGGTTTGCTGGTGTCGTCCTGTGGGTGGCCATCTTCCCAGCAGATGTGGTCAAGTCACGCATCCAGGTGGCAGGCTCGACGGACCCCATGTCCAAGGTGCTACTTGGAATCTTTAGAAATGAAGGCAAGACAGTCATTCCTCAATGTTATCCACTAATAAGGGGATTCTCTGAGCGTCTTGAATCATATTGTTAAAATACCCAAAGAAGTACTAACATACTTTACTGTATACCTAATACAGTGGACCCCCGCTTTACAATCAGCTCCCAATGCGACCAATTATGTAAGTGTATTATGTAAGTGCGTTTGTACGTGTATGTTTGGGGTCTGAAATGGACTAATCTAATTCACAAGATTCCTCATGGGAACAAATTCGTTCAGTAATGGCACCTGAACATACTTCTGGAATGAAATAATATCATAAACCAGGGGTCCACTGTATAGTACTCTACACAATTTACATTTGTTAACAACTCAGCGGCTGTCTCCCGCCAAGGCAGAGTGATCTGAAAAAGAAAACACATTCACCATCATTTATTCAATCCCCATCTTTCCAAAAGTGTGCTGAAATTAGAGTTCAGATGACCCTCAGACTGTAGCATACCCCCTTTCCTTCAGATTGCAGGCACTGCCCTTCCCACCTCCAGGACTCAAGCCTGGTTAACCAATTTCCTTTAATCCTTCATAAAAGTTACCTTGCTCACTCTCCAACAGTACATCCATTATAAAGCACAGAGCCCCATTCTTATACCGCAATAAACACTGAAAATAAACATTACATTTAATATATTTCTCCATGGGGAAGTGGAGAAGAACTCGTCCTCTGTAAGCCATGCATGTCATAAGAGGTGACTAAAATGCTGGGAACAAGGGGCTAGTAACCCCTTCTCCAGTATAAATTATTAACTGTTAAGAGAAAACTTTAATTTTTCTGTTTAGGTCACCCTGCCTCAGTGAGATACAGCTGGTGCATTGAAAAAAGTTAATGTATACTCTGGTCGACCTTCAGAAAACTGTTACAGTGATCAAAGCTTGTGAATACAGAAGTGCGTAGGTTTGTAGTGACGACTGTGAATAATTAAAAGTACGTACCTTGGTCATTCCTGGAACATTATCAAGTCACTGCTCAATACTTATACAGAATGAGCCAAAACTTGTGAAAGGTTCTTGATCCAAGTAACTGAAGCAACTACCTGCCTGGTAGACAGAGCTCTTGCTTCAAACACTGAAGTCTGGGTTCAACTCCTGTCAAGGGTGGAAACATTGGGTGTGTTTCCTTACACTGGCTGTCCATGTTCACTCATCAGTAAAATAGGTACCTGGGTGTTAGTCGACTGGCGTGGATTGCATCCTGGGAACAAAATTAACCTAATTTGCGGGAAATGCTCAGCATAACAAGCAGCTTTCTATATAGTAGTATGTCATTAACGTCAGCTATGGTCTGTATACTTTGTACATGTACTGGTAGTAAATAAAGATATTATTATTAATATTGGCTCAAACCTGATTACCTCCCATTCCCTAGGTGATGTTTCCTCATGAATACTCAATAATAATAATAATAATAATAATACAGTGGACCCCCGGTATTCGATATTAATCCGTTCCTGAGAGCTCATCGAATACCGATAATATCGAGAATCGAATCAATTTTCCTCATAAGAAATAATGGAAATCAAATTAATCCGTGCAAGACACCCAAAAGTATGAAAAAAAAAATTTTACTACATGAAATATTAAGTTTAATGCAATAGAATAATTACAATAACAATAAAATAATTGACACTTATCTTTAATGAAGATCTGGTGATGATTGATGGGATGGAAGGTGGGGAGAGGTGTTAGTGTTTAGAAGGGGAATCCCTTCCATTAGGACTTGAGGTAGCAAGTCCTTTTCCGGGGTTACTTCCCTTCTTCTTTTAATGCCACTAGGACCAGCTTGAGAGTCATTGGACCTCTGTCGCACAACAAATCTGTCCATAGAGACCTGTACCTCCCGTTCCTTTACGATTTGTCTAAAATGGGCCACAACATTGTCATTGCAATAGCTGTGTTAGGGTGATTTCTATCCATAAATGTTTGCAGTTCAACCCACTGTGCACACATTTCCTTAATTTTTGAAGAAGGCACAATGGATTCCACAACTGGCATAGGCTTCTCAGGGTTAGCCCCAAACCCTTCAAAATCTTTCTTAATTTCCATACTAATTCTCACCCTTTTTACCACAGGGTTGGCACTAGAAGTTTTCTTGAGGCCCATGGTGACTTATTTTGCAGAAACAAGCACCGAAAACAGTGATAATATGGAATGTACCAAATGTATCCTTAGATGCGTGCACACTGGCTGGGTTGTAAACACTAGCACACACGGGGCAGTTCAGGCCACACGTGGACAGGTCTCGTACGAATCATATCGAATACCGGGTTTTCAATTGAATACCGAGGAAATTTTTTTGCGATATAATGCATCGAATACCGGATTTATCGAATACCAATGCCATCGAATACCGGGGGTCCACTGTAATAATAATAATAATAATAATAATAATAATAATAATAATAATAATCCTCCATGGGGAAGTGGAACAGAATTCTTCCTCCGTAAGCCATGCGTGTTGTAAGAGGCGACTAAAATGCCAGGAGCAAGGGGCTAGTAACCTCTTCTCCTGTATATCTTACTAAATGTAAAAGGAGAAACGTTCGTTTTTCCTTTTGGGCCACCCTGCCTTGGTGGGATACGGCCAGTGTGTTGAAAGAAAGAAAGAATAATAATAATAATAATAATATTAATAATAATAATGAAAGAAAGTATTAGTGATAGAACAATTTCTTGTAGTAATGTGGTTTTGAACACAAAGATATTATGCTAATATAATGTTGAGTATTTGTGTAATATTCGTGTATACGTCGTTATTATTCAAAGGGAAGTAAAAAGCACGGGCATTTTAAACCCTAAAAAACGGAGGAAAGCAATTTTTTGATTCAAGCTAGGAAGTACTCTAATTCTCGGATCAAGAGCCTTTTCACTCATTAATGAAAAGCAGACAGTTTTATTGAACAAGAGGAAAAAAATTTTAAAGAAAAAAAAACAGGGGCAACCAGACCCCTTAGCTATACAAATATAAAACTACCTAACATAGTAACCAACGAAATACTGATGCTCCTCGTTTTGCAATGGTCTACTTACGATATTTTAATATAAATGGTGAAATAGTGATGCACATTCACGTCATAAAAACTTTGATAAGTAATTTTTTTTTTTTTTTTTTTAAAAACGGGCTGTTACCCCCCGGGGGAACCCAAAAAGAAATTTATCATTATAAAAGCTACTGTTTAGTGTGTTTTTTTTTTTTTGTGAATGAAACAAAAAAATTGCATCTCCCAAGTGAGGGGGGGGGTTGGACCTGCCTAGCTTTGGGCCCAAAAAGGGCGGGCTGCAGTGCCCTTTTTTCTTAGAAGACTTTTCCACATACTTTTTTTTTGGAGCACTTTTTTTTACAAAAAATCACTTATTTTTTCCCTCGTAATGAGCTGACTGTCATTTGTATTTAAAAGCTTAGTATAATGGACCCTTGACTAACGATATTAATGGTACCCGGAAAAATATCGTTAGTCGAGTTTTTTTTAGCTTTAGATGGGGCAAAATTTTGGGTTTAAAAATGATCCTAGTTAAATTTAAACTTATAGATGCCATCTTTGGCGAGGCCTGTATTTTTTTTTGAACACATCGGCTTTTCCCACCGGGTAGGGTGACCTGAAAAAGAAAAACACTTTCATCATCACTCACTCCATCACTGCCCCTTGCCATTGGCTTTACACACAGTTAAAAAATTTATTACGGGAAATTCTGGCGTTGACAAGGGGCTGGGCCCGATGGTGTTGCGAACCTTCCTCCCCACGGGGCGTCTTTCTGATACGAGGAACCCAAAAAAATTTCCAAATAACCTAATGGTTTAATTTATTTTTTTTAACTTTTCTAATATTGTTAAATTATAGTTTTTTAAGCATTGTAAAAAAAATTGTCTTCCTATAAATAACAGTTAAAATTGCCTATTTTTTTTTATCCAAATTATTTATACAGTGGACCCCCGCATAAGATTACCTCCGAATGCCCCAATTATGTTATGTATTATGTAAGGGTTTGTATGTATTTTTTTGGGGGTCTGAAATGGACAATCTACTTCACAATATTTTTATGGAATAAATTGGGTCATATGGACCTAAACAATTCTGGAGTAAAAAAATATCGTTAACCCGGGGTCCACTGTATTTGGAATACCATATCTGCTCCCTTCTTTTTGTTTTTTGTAGCAGAGCCTTTTTAAATCATAAGTAACTCATAGGGCCCTAACATACAAATGAGAAAAAAAAAAAAAGAAATACTGACGGGAAAATACACAAAAAAACCCCGGACTAGGGAAACCTGTCTTTCATCCAACTGGGCCCATTAAACCCGTAAACCCCCCCCAAAGTATTATACTTTTTTTCAACATTTAAGAAAGTAGTAAAAAAACTGATTACTTTTGTTATATTTAAAAATATGAAAAAAAAAAAACTTAGATCACTTTTGTACATGCGCATGTGAACTTTAATTGTTGGCCCTTTTAGGGGTTAACTAGTTAGTTAAGGTCCAATTTGAATCGAAGAGTTTTTTCTCCACGTGGGTTTTCGTGTATAAAAGAGATGCGTTTCCAGCTACAATTTCACCCACCAAGACATTGGTAATGCTGAATACTATACCTCTAGAAAAAAATTGAAAATTTGATACTGGGGCCCAGACATTTTCAAAATTTGCAATCGGATTCATAAAAATTTTTTTTTCAAAACATTACATCTCTTGGCCCCTCAATATTACAGGGGTCAACACAGTAGGGTGGAATGCAAAAGTCCTCTGAAACCCAAGAAACCCTTTTAATAGACTCCCTTGCCCATTACTTTTTACCCTTTTTTTTAAATGTTATTGATAAATAAATGGGCTTTCAGATGGAGTTTTAAAAAGGCTTTTATTTTAGTGAAATTTTTAAGGCAGATTAAGACTAAGCTATAAAAGGGGGACATAATGCATTTTCTTTAAAGTATATTTTTTTTTTAAATTATCGGGGGGAAATGTTAAACCCATCCCATTGATACACTTTGACATGTTTCAAGATTTTGTCTATTATACCCCAGTAGACAGTGGAGGAGAGGAAACAGTCCCTCAGTTTAGAAGTGTTTTCACCACTATAGTATCTCGTTCTAGGTGAGGGACAAATTTTCCCTCACTTTCACTGTCTTATGTGTGGTAGTTGTGCAAACTGAGGGATACCCTCACTGCAGTTTGTGACCCCCACAGCCTTCTGAGCCAGGCTAGTTGGTGTCATGCAGCATGTGGCAACACATCCTGGGCCAGGCAATTGGTCGTGCAGCACGTGGGCAACACCCCTGGGCCGGGTTTTTAGCGGGTGTCGTGCGCACGTGGGCAACACCCGGGGGCCCAGGCAAAATCTGGTGTGGCAGCACCAACACCCTGGGCCGGTTATTGGTGTCGTGCAGCACGGGGGCAACACACCCGGGGGCCCAGGCTAGCTGGTGTCGTGCAGCACGGGGGCAAAAAATTCTGGGCCAGGCTATCTGGTGTCGTGCAGCACGGGGGCAACCATCCTGGGCCGGGCTAGTCTGGTGTCGTGTAGACGTGGGCAACACACCCTTGGACGGGTATTTGGGTGTGTGCACACGGGGCAACACATCCGGGCCAGGCGTCTGGTGTCATGCAGCACGGGGCAACACATCCTGGGCCGCCTAGTCGGTGTCATGCAGCACGTGGGCAACAATTTGGGCCAGGCTAGTGGGGTGTCGTGCAGCACGTGGGTAACACATCCTGGGCCAGGCAGTCGGGTGTGTGCAGCACGTGGGCAAACCTTCGGGGCCCCAGGCTAGCGGGTGTCGTGCAGCCTTTCTGGGCCAGCCACGGGTTGGTCATGCAGCAGGGGCAGCACTTTGGGGCCCCGCCTAGTCTGGTGTCGTGCACATGGGAAACAATCCGGGGCCAGGCTAGTCTGGTGTCGTGCAGCACGTGGGCAAACACTTTCGGGGCCGGGGTACCCCTGGTGTGTGCAGCACGTGGGCAACACTTGGGCCAGGCTAGTCTGGGGTGTGCGCTGTGGGCAAAACACAACAAGGCACAATCCCCGCTGGAAAATACAAAAGTAACCCCCCACGTGGGAGAGAAAAATTTTTGATGATTTTTGGGTCTGCCCTGGACAAATACGGAGTATTTTTGTATGGCAACAAGGCCAAACCGAGGGTATGGTAACTCCACCTAACGAATCAAGAGCCCCCAAATCCAGCATCAAGGGGCTCAGAAATTTTGTTTGGGATAAATGAAATAAATTTTTAATTTCACAAACTCGGATTTATTATTACAATAAAAACTCAAGATAAGTCATAATGAAGACTATCAGAATAACCAAAGGATGGAAGGGACCATAGTGCCGGTCCCCAAAAACCATTTCCATGTATGCAGTTCTTTTCCCTTAAATTGGGGGGTTCCGACTCCCCTTACCAACATTACCAGTTTTTGACTGGGGAAAATTTTGGAAGTGGAGCTCTTGTTCCCAGAAATTGCATTACCTATTTTCCCCAATAAAAACCTCTTCTTTTTCCCCAAAAATGTAATACCCTTGCATGCTTAGCTTCCCTATTACACACGTTTTTTTTTTTTCAACAAATTCCGTCTCCCCCCCAAAAAAAAAGAAGAAACATTTTCATCATCATTCACCCCATCACTTATACCAGATTGCCGATACTACATTCCCCGAAAAAATCCCCCCCCCTTCTTCAGCCCATCTTTTAAAAAGGGGCAAACAGAAAAAAACCATTCCCTCATTTTTTCAATCACTTTCTTTGAGGTTTGCCGACACGCATCCAATTTGTTTTCTCACATTCAAAACAAACGCAAACCCTATAATCATACATCTAAACATAAATATTTTTTTTTTTTTATTCACCTGGTCATTCCCCCAGCGGGGTGCCCAAAAAAAAAAACTTTCACCATCTTTTTAAACTTTTCCGCCCCTTTGCCAAAGGGTTTTCACTACAGTTTTAAAACTCCAACATTAACTAACATTTTTTTAAAACACATAACACAAAAAACCCCAACATAGAAAAAGGGGAGCTTACGTGACGTTTCTTCAAGTGATTATGAAGGAATAAGATGCATCAGCCTTTTCGATTTTCCCTCAAAAACACCATCCTTCAAAGGGGCTTTTTGAAAAAAGGAAATTGGAACTACCCTTTCGGGGATCGAACCTGATTACCCCCCCACCCTCCGGATTACATCCCCCCACGGGTTTATCTTTTTCCCCACGAATCATAAAAACTGCGATGTGATGACCCCAGTTCTCATTGTTACCCCCAACAAAAAAATAAAAATAAAAAAAAAATAAAAAAAAAAAATTGATATGTTTTAAATACTGCAGCAATTAAAGAAAAAAATTTTAAAATTATATTTTTTAAAAAGGTCCGTTTTGGGCCCTATCCTCCCTTCCTTGAAACAAACCTGATTCCCCCCTCCATTCCCCAGGTTTATGCCCCCGATGGTTTAGTGTTTCCCCCAGTAAAATTTTAAAAAAACAAAAAAGCACTAAACCCACAGGGTCTCCCCATAATAAAAATTTTTTGTGATTTGTGAGCTAATAAATTTCCCCTTCCTGAAAGTTGAAGGTTGACTGAGGTTGTGGGGGGGCCACAAACTGTGTAAAGGAGAGCAATTTTCAATTTTATGGTTTTTTTTTCTGAACGAAGTTGTGATGGGGAGCATTCGGAGCATGGCAAAGTTTGTTAGATGCAAAATTTTCCCGCTATTTTGGCAGCCCCCC